GTTCAATAACTGTGCACACAACAGTAGAAATTCGGAACGTCGGAAAATTACCGCTAGAAGATAAAAATGTATGTTTCTAATGTCTATGACATGTGTAAGCACCAGAAAAGTGTCAGTGGTAAAACACAAAGGTATAAATAATTATACTAATTATAAAAAAACTTGAATACAGTAATACCCCGACTTACGTTACCCCGTTTTACGCAAATCCGGAGTTACGCGATTCGTCTTTTGGAGCGTCGCGCAAATCGATTCCCCCACTCCCCTCGCACAGTGTTCGGCTTACGATAAGTTCGGACGTGAAAAATGAACACGACATTTCAATCCTGTCTTTTGGGTCTTCTTTAAGGTACTACTACGATAAACTCAAATCCGCGTAATCGAGCTGAAATTTGTTTTACGTCAAATTTGTATAGCAGTACATTTCTCTACAAAATTTTAACACGGTTCACTCATCCATTTCCGAGTATTTCCGAGTTAAAGTCAGGACTCGTAACACGTATTCCCTATACCTGGCCAATAAAACGCGCATGGTTTTTTTTATTGCATTTGACTCGTCCGCGTAATTCCGATGAAAAACTAGTATGTGGCAAAGGAAAAAATTAGGAATTTTTTAGGTTTTTAGTCAGAACTTTTTACTCATAGGATTTATTGATAGACATGAAGGAAGTCGATATTTATTACGAAATCTCTAGTGTGACGGCTGACAATAGAGCATCGATGTATATACGTATACACTACTACATCCACTGTGAGCCCGTGCCCGATGCATACAATACATTTTCAGTCCGTAGTAATACCTTAAAGGTATTTCAGAAATTTTATCCAGCATTTAAGTAAAACAAAAAAGAAAATCTGAAATAACAGGATTTTTACAGTTTCTTTTACAACCTAGAATTAAGCGCACATTCTACAAGGTTAAAATCATTATGGCACCCCTTTCGCAATAAGTAACCCCAAATTGGAAGAGTAATCGGACCCGGAATATTTCACATGTTTCAACTTATATCCCAGTTTTAAGTAACTCCATTACTTGTGAAGATAGGTTTAAAAAAGTAAGAAAAGAGAGGCAAGGACACGCGGTGTTCCCAAGCGGTCACCCATCCAAGTACTGACCGCGCCCAATGTTGCTTAACTTCAGTGATCGGACGAGAACTGGTGTATTCAACGTGGTATGGACCTTGCCGATAGAGTAAGTTTTGGTACTCAAACACTATATTGCACTATTTAGAAATTTATATATCAAATTTTATACTTAATAATCAGAATTAAGTAAATATATATTTATTCATTAATTTACAATTTATTACGGATTTCTATTTGCGATATTTATGAAAGATAGGGCTGTTACGCAATTACTTTTCAATAATAATTATGTAATTAGAGAAACTCTTTGTATTTTATTATTTATTTGAATTCATAGACGTTTAAAATGCTCATTTTTGAGTATGATTAGAAAACAAATTTTAAAAGGTGGAAAGTGGCAAGCACACGCGGTGTTCCCAAGCGGTCACTTTAATAATAACAACAATATAATTCATGTCACCACCGATTAATAATTCTATATTCGTGTTACATTAATTCTAAAATATGCTCAAGCTACATTAATTTCATATTCAAAGGAGCATCTTAGCTTGCGAGTAGGCATGTCGATCTGCGATCGATTAATCGATTCTTTGGGGAAATAAAATCGATTTTTCACATCGATCTGAAACACTGGATGATTCAGTGAATCAATCCCAGAACCCTAAGAATTGGATCAGTAACAAGATCAGCTGCATTCGATTCAGGGATCGATTATTTTCAGGAAGAATCGACATCGCTACTTGCAAGTTGCAACAAAATGATCCTTTAAATATAATTGATTGTCTCCACTAAGAAATTAAACAGGTTTAAAATTCGAACAAAAATCAAATTGTACATATTGCGTTTTTTCACTCAGCCTAGTATATGTCAACAGCGTTCAATAAATCTACATATCATTCTTATGTCTGAAACTGATGCCATTGATTACCGTCTCCACCACAAAACAGTTTGTCTTTTTCAACCTTTTAATGTTAAGTGGAAACTTAATTCATTGAGATACAAGATAATCGAAAAAACACGTAAGCTGAACCCCTTATCAAAGCCATCAGGAAAATATAGAAAGTAATTCAGTATTTTACATATATTAATATCATACATGAGATTAAAAACAAAAATGAACTTCAACGACTATCAGAATCCAAGACTAAACCTTGGCTAAAACCAAGACTAAAACATGGTAGTCATCAAAAATACTGTTGCAAAAATAAATATATAGTTATTAGGTGTATTAGTACATGAACGGAAACCATAATATCACCGAAGTCTTGATTCGTGGAAGAGGCGAAGAATTAAAATTAACTAGTGCATACTATGGTAAAACGGTTTGCTCCATTTACGTATTGAAAAAGTTTGTGGCCCTGAAAAGGGCCCTTTTGTTGTGTACGGTGAGTAGCTGAGAACTCGAGAAACAAATTAACCACCAAAACCGTAGAGAGTGCGTCCTTGACGTTTCAGCGCATAGACCACGTCCATGGCAGTGACGGTTTTCCTCTTGGCATGTTCGGTGTATGTAACTGCATCACGTATGACATTTTCCAGAAAGACTTTAAGAACACCACGGGTCTCTTCGTAAATCAGGCCAGAGATACGTTTAACACCGCCTCGGCGAGCCAAACGGCGAATAGCAGGCTTCGTGATTCCCTGGATGTTGTCACGAAGAACTTTCCTGTGACGCTTCGCTCCTCCCTTTCCCAAACCTTTTCCTCCCTTACCACGGCCAGTCATTTTCACCAACGAAATTCAATCCAAACCCTCTTTAAGAAATATTCCGTAGAACTGATGCAATAGCTAAGATTCAAGGGGTATTTATCCTCGCTCCTATGCGTATCCCTACCACTTACCGACTGGCCAATGAGCGTCAAGCTGAACAATCGGGCGAGTCTATAAGAGGGTGAACAAAGTTGGTGCTCCCATAATGCGTTTGGATCTTATGGTGTGAAGTTCTCTCAACGCTCCCAGTAAAGAAAATATTCGGTGAACATGGCTCGTACGAAGCAGACTGCTCGGAAGTCAACTGGAGGAAAAGCTCCTCGGAAGCAATTGGCTACGAAAGCCGCACGTAAAAGTGCACCAGCTACCGGAGGAGTTAAGAAGCCTCATCGCTACGTCATACTGCATTTGAATTTTATGGTGTAAAGTTCTATCGACGCTCAGTGAAAGAGATATTAGCTGAAGATGGCTCGTACGAAGCAGACTGCTCGCAAGTCAACTGGAGGAAAGGCTCCTCGGAAGCAATTGGCTACGAAAGCTGCACGTAAAAGTGCACCAGCTACCGGAGGAGTTAAGAAGCCTCATCGCTACAGACCAGGAACCGTCGCTCTGCGTGAGATTCGTCGCTATCAGAAGAGCACGGAGCTGCTCATTCGCAAACTGCCCTTCCAGCGATTAGTCCGCGAGATCGCTCAGGACTTCAAGACGGACCTTCGCTTCCAGAGTTCAGCCGTGATGGCACTTCAAGAAGCTAGCGAGGCTTATCTCGTCGGCCTCTTCGAAGACACCAACTTGTGTGCCATCCACGCCAAGCGTGTCACCATCATGCCAAAGGACATCCAGTTGGCTCGCCGTATTCGTGGAGAACGTGCCTAAATACCGAAGGCTTATAAAATAAAACCGGTCCTTTTCAGGACCAAAATTCTGTTATTCCGAGGAACATGCACATACGTTTATACTCTGAAAGATGTTTCTGAAAATAATCCACACATGCCCACGTACATACATTTTAGTATACTTTAGCCGACATACATCTTATTTAATATTTTTTTTCTGCAGTAAATATTGTTTTTACCCTTTTAACATTCCTGAGTCCTGATTGATACCACGCGAATTAATATTTTAGAACTACTAACCTGCATTCCAAAATGCAAAATCTGAATATTTTCCCTAGTATTCATAACTCTAGCAAGAGAACTTGTGTAATAGCGGAAACGTTTATTTTCTTTAATTTAGGGATTTTAAGATTAGTTCACTGATAAGTGATTGCCAAGTTCTTTTTCTGTAATAACGATTTTACGTTGGCAAACTTAACATTTGTAGTTCTAGAGCCTCTGTTGGTCAATCATATTCTTTGACGGAATATTCTTCACTGCATACGTTAGCCCTAACTGTTCTGTTTCTTTATTTTGAAATTGCATGATGTTACTTCAAAACTGAAATAGGTCCATCTTTTACGAAATGGAGTATCAGAGGTTTAAAATTTATATAAGGATGAAAAATTCATTAGGGCGATATACCGTGAATGCTGAAACTAACGTAAGAACTTTTGATGGTCCTGAAAAGGACCGGTTTTTGGAAATTCGTAATTCAGCCAAGTAGCTTTACTTGGAACTTGTGTACTTGGTGACAGCTTTGGTTCCTTCACTGACAGCGTGCTTGGCCAGTTCTCCTGGTAGAAGCAGCCTCACAGCTGTTTGTACTTCGCGAGACGTGATGGTGGAACGTTTGTTGTAATGAGCCAATCGGGAAGCCTCGGCGGCGATGCGCTCGAAGATGTCGTTGACGAAGCTGTTCATGATGCTCATAGCTTTACTGGAAACTCCAGTATCGGGATGGACTTGCTTCAGCACCTTGTAGATGTAGATGGCATAGCTTTCCTTCCTCTTGCGTTTCTTCTTCTTGTCGGTCTTGCTGATGTTTTTTTGGGCTTTCCCAGCTTTCTTCACTGCCTTTCCGCTTGCTTTAGGTGGCATGATGCTTCGATCAGTTTATTGTCACGCAAAGTCACTCGTACGAAATATTCAACGAATGTGGGCACCGCCCGCTTGGGCACGCTCTATATGGAGTAGCAGGGCCATGGGCGCACCAATCAGACGGAGCGCTTGCAACGCCGACAGTAAGACGCAACGCGATTGGAGCGTAGGAAGAGCGCTCTTTGCTACATAAGCGTTCAGCCGGAAAATTTACGTTCATAGTTGCTTCGCTTGTCGAACGAATAACTTGTGTGTGAGTACTATACAGAGAAGTTATAATGTCTGGACGTGGCAAAGGCGGAAAAGTGAAGGGAAAGGCAAAGTCTCGCTC